TTTTTTTTTTTACTTTTCTGGGAGGGGGGGATATTTGTTGTCTGTTTGTTTCTGTTTTGGTTTTCATACTGACATGGGAATGATCATGTGACATTAATCATCTTGCTTACCACATATTCCATCAAGTGATTGGCATCTCATGGTTCTGTTCCATTCATGCATCTTTTATCATTTTAGTGGGTAATGGAATGGTTTCTTTTGGATGTATAGTGACGGATTTTCTGCTTTCAGCTCAGTGAGGATATCAACAATACCTGCCTTCGGAACTATTATGGAAACCGTAACGCAAAAAGAGGTACGAGTCTTCCATATTACAGACACCCACACAACCCACATATATTTGTCAATTTTAAAGTATTTAAATCTCTAGTTTATTGAAAAATGTACATGTTTGATTATTGTTATATAATAAATAAATACATCCCAACAGAACACAGTTCAGGGCTTTAAATACAACATAAAATGAAAAATATCAAATAAATAAATGTATATATTTATTATATATATATTATACATAATTATATATTTATTATTATTTACAGCAAAAAAAAAAAGTATAAAAATATAATCTAAATATATATAATTTGGACTAAGGTTTACAAAGTGTATAGAGAAATTCTTATTTATTTTTGTGTCATATGTGTGTTTATTAGCTGCTAGAGAGAGTGAAAATGCAGCTGGCCTCTTTTCTGGAAGACCCCCAGTATCAGGACCAGCATTCTTTGCACATGGAAATCATCAAAACATTTGGAAGAGTAGGACCCAATGCAGAGCCACGCTTCAGAGATGAATGTGAGCGTCATCACGATGTATTCACTTGCATATGCAAAGTTTTTCACTGTTTGCACAGAGGAAAAACACCATAGCGTATCGTAATGTGATGATAACAGTACCGTCATGCTTCTGTGGCTGTGTTTACCCTTTAGTGCACATACATTATACTGTGGCCGAAGTATTTTCTGTTTCTTTCATGTCCTGTTATCTGTCTGTTTATTTTTTCCACAGTTGTTCTTCCTCATTTGCACAAACTGGCTCTGTGCAACAACCAGCAGACAGTGGAGAGTAAAAGAATTGACATTGCCACTCAACTGTTTGAGGCATACAGCGCCTTATCCTGCTGTTGTATCCTTTTATATATTTCTAAATTTGACTTCTAATTGTGTGTGTTTAGAACCACCTTTCAACTTGTCTTACATAGCAAGGTTTTGACTATTAGCATGAAAGGAATACTTCACCCAAAAATGAAAATGTATGAAAAATTTAGATGAAGTTTTTTTTTTGTTCATCTGAACAGATTTGGAAAAATGTAGTATCACATCACATCCTCTGCAATGAATGGGTGCCGTCAGAATGAGAGTCCAAACAGCTGATAAAAACATTACAGTAATACACAAATAATCCACGTCTCCAGTCTATCAAATAATGTCTTGTGAAGCAAAAATCTGCTTGTCTGGAAGAAACAAATCTATCTTTTTTTTTTCTTTTTTTTTACTTGGAAAAACCATCTTAAACTTTCGCCTCTGTTGAAAATATGTGTCCTCTATACTTAGTATTGTATTACACGTAACGGATAACATATATATTTTTTACATTTTGTTTATTCATATAATTTTATACAATTCCGTTAATTGAAAAGCTGTTTGTGTCTAAATCAGCATCTGTTTCTCAGTGGGACAGCTATTTAAAAACCTGAAATTTGCGTAAACCAATCAGATTGTAACGTCATTTTGTCAAGCCTTTGCTATTTTGGGGATACATCAGACAATCCATGAACAGTCAGGGCAATCATTTGGCTGACCGTTTCAGGCTTTTTTCAACGAATCAATCAAGCGGTTTTATTGTTTTTGTAAGCCTCAGTAATGCCCAGCGGTTTGCATTTCCAGAAGTTGATTTTTCTCTAAGAGGGAACATTTTGATTACAAATTGAAAACAGATAGACAGCGGAATTGGACTGTACACCTCCACTGCTGATGTTTGGGAGCAGGAGCCATCTTTCACTGGTTTCTCTACTGATTTTGTGGCGTATGGCAGCTTGCACAGTATAACCACAGTCTTACCTCCAGTTTCAACTTAATAACAGATACTGAACACACAGTCTGTGTGGCCACTTTCTCTCTGTGCTTTTTGAGTTTTTGAGCGATGGTCAACTATTTAAGCTGGACATGAGTCTCCATAGCTGGATTTGCATTCTCACTCTCTTTTTTTTTCCCCCTCCTTTTCTTCTGAGAGCTTGGTCGTTGCGAAAATTTTTGCATATCCCACTGGCAGGAAAAGAAAGAAAATAAACCTCAGCCATTTTTGTACACTAAATTGCAGGGTGGATGGCAGAATTTGTCGTTAACTGCTCTATGATGTTGTCTGTTTGAGCGAAGAGAGTCTAGCCCAGCCCTTTGGTCAGGATTCCCAGCATACATGCCTTTGCAGATGCTCTTTTGTCTTGTTTCATTTTATTTTTGTCTGCTGTGTCACAGTGGAGACCCCCCTGTAGCAGTGGCTTGCCCCCCAGGCAGTTTTGTAAAACCTCGTCCTGTCTGTGTTTTGAGGTTTTGCAACATGATCAATATGAGGTTGAGTCTGGATCATGGACTGTATACTGGTGTGTATTTACTGTAAAAGTGCAAGTCATTATGGGGTTTAACAGTGCAAATTTCTCACGGTTGGGTTTATATCAAGTTTTGTGGTGGTCATGGTTTCTGTTTGGTCGCTTTTAGGGGTGCGACGATCATCAGGCTGATACCAGTAACTCGAGTTAACACACTGTGTTTGTTGTTTCATTCATTTGCGGTTTTTAGTCGATTCAGCTGAATTACCAGTTATTCTTGAAAATCCAAATTCGTATAATATTTGGAATTAGTATTTATATTTTCAGGGGCATTGTGAGCAGAGGTGTCAATTACATGTTCATTTAGTAGAAATTTAATATTTAGCTGTATTAAGAATACATTTTTCACAGCAAATATTGGTGTATGCGGTTTAATTATTTATTTCAAATAATCAATTCATTGGTATATCATGTAACATCGTGGTGTAACATAATTAATTGGTAAATCATTTAACTAATTTCATAAAAGATAAACGGCCATAATTCTAGGTCTAATACAGTTTTAAATTTCGAATGACTTTTTTCTGTCTTGTTTTTGTTTTTACTCAGTGACTATTAGTTTTATAGTCGTTTTATTTTTCTTCAGTGTTTTAGTTAGTAATTTATTTCATGAAACATTTATAGATCAACAGCCCTAATTAGAGGTGTATTATATTATTCAATTTTGAATTAGTTTTTATTTTATTTTCAGTCTTTTTTGTTGTTTCCACTCTATTTTCATGTAGTTGTAGTTTTATCATTTCAATTTAATGAAATTATTAACAACCTGAATTATAGGTTGATTATAGTTTTACATTTTAAATTTTATTTTCATTTTTTTGTTGTTTAATTTTTCTGTTATATAGTTTCAATGTATTAAATTTTTATTGGAGTTATAGTATTTTTGCGCTGTAAGATTCTATTTACACTGACACAATAGCAGGATTTTCTTATTATGCTACTTATTGCAAATAATGGCAATTATCTGCCCCTCAGTATTGTAGCACATTATAAAACAATATAAAATAATAACGTATTGAGTGTAAATTATCATTTGAATTCAAATTATTAAGTGGATGCCACCTTATTAGGACAATAAAGCCCTCCCTACACCTACCCTAACCCTACCCGATACTTTTTCAACTTTTTGATTATTTCCTTAAATTTTATTGAAAATAAATGCCTTTTCAATGTGATATGAGATTTGAAAAGGGAGAAAAAAAAGTCTAAAAGACTATGGCACGTGTTTTACCATCTACACCACTGGAGCTGATGTTTGATGGTCGTCTTTTGTAGTGTTGACTACCCCAATCACACATTGGTTGGCGGAGTTAGTGTAAATAACCTCTGCCAACAAAGCGATAGTGTAAATTGACACTCCGTATATTTATTTAAATTTTTTTTTTCTCCCCAAGTATGCATACTGAACTGTAGATGGGTAGACGTGTATATTTCACAGGTATGTTTGACAGTCTTTTCTTAACTCCGGGGCTTTAGTTATTTCTGAAGAACTCATGGTGAATCATTTCCTCCCTGGACTGAGATGTTTGAGGACAGATATGGAGCAGCTCTCTCCGGAGCACGAGGTATTAAATCAAGATTTCAAAAAACATTTATCTTTGATTGCAGCATATAATCATTGCTGTTAAAGGGTTAGTTCACCCAAAAAGGAAAATTCTGTCATTAATTACTCACCCTCGTGTTGTTCCAAACCCGTAAGACCTTCGTTTATCTTCGGAACACCAATTAAGATATTTTTTATGAAATATGAGGGCTCTCTGACCCTCCCATAGACAGCAAGGTAACTACCACGTTCAAGGTCCAGAAAAGTACCAAGATGATCTACAAAGTAGTCCGTGTGACATCAGTGGTTCAACTGTAAAGTTACAAAGCTACGAGAATACTTTTTTGCGCAAAGAAAACAAAAATAACGACTTTATTCCACATTTTCGTCTCTACTGTGTCACTTGTGGACGCGCGTTCACGACAGTATCATGACGTCATCACGCTGGATTTGGGTCAGCACCGGTGTAGTGCCGAAATTTACACCCTGCCAGATTATGCACCCCCTAGTATTGGTAGGTTTAGGAGTAGGTGTGGGGGAGGGGTTAGGATTGGGGTGGGATTGGAATTAGGCAATCAGGTAGCGACTTCAACGAGGGGTGCATAATCTGGCAGGGGTGCAGAATTCGGCACAACAACAGTGCCGCCACACAACACGAGGGTGAGTAATTAATGACAGAATTTTCATTTTTGGGTGAATAACCCTTTAATAGTGTTTATCGTCTGTTTGATTACGTCATTACCTGAATTTTACCGTACATTTCTGCCATATGTACATCAATTTGACATAGTCACCACACATAGTCATAGTTGACATAGTCACTGACAAGCTACTGCTAAATATATTGTAGAAACTTAATTTTCTGTAAAGCTGCTTTGCAATGATTTGTATCATGAAAAGCGCTATGCAAATAAACTTGAATTGAATTGAATTGTATGACACAACTACAACAACCACCACCTATAATTCTTAATTAAATACAGACCCATAACATTGTGTGCTTTTCCAAAGCCTGGTCTAGTCTTGTTGTCCTAACATTTTATCACGCTGCATGTCGTGTAACCCAATTTCTATTTATTTAATTTCCTTTGCCTAGTAATGTCCAGCTGATGTGCGTGTGTCTGCGTGTATGTCAGACTTCCCAGCAGTGCTCTAAGAATACTCCCTCTTTTCCCGTTTGTCCTTTAGGTTATTCTCAGTTCCATGATAAAGGAGTGTGAAATAAAGGTGGAGAACAAAGGCATTGGAGAGGCACAAGGGTGAGAAGACAAACTCATTCATTTCATTCATACAGTCACCATGTTTAGTGTTCTTATTTACTGCAAATGAAGCCTCATCACTAAGAGGAAAATCTAATGAATACAGTGCCTGCTTCTCCTGTTTTAGTTTAAATAATTCCCTGGCCACAAAACAAAACAAGCGAACAAGTGCTCATTTAGTAGCGGAGTAAAAGTAAATAATTTTACAAGAGTTCTCAAGAACACGTACTCAGGAATTCTTTGCACATGTTAATTTCCTCAACGATTTATCCGTTTGAGTTCAGCTTGGGTTTGACTCAGTGTCTCCACTGCTAGATAGTTCCCATCGGGCATTGCAGGCCACTGGTTTAGCCACATAATTATTGCAAACCCGCTCCATTTGGGCTGTGCCTGTAGGCCAATGGTACTGCTGCTTCATATTACACTTATAGCAGCTGTGTAAAGCTACATGGACACTTACACTGTTATTTATTTAATATTTCCACTCCAAATTTGGTGCTGACTGTTTTTTCCTTATATAAAGCGTAGTATAATATGCACAATGGATTTTTATTTGCTGAAGTTTGCGATTTTCAAGAGTTGAATGACTTTGTGAAGAAGTGAGAGGGTATGTACAGTCAAGATTTTTGCTTGCTAAGGACTCTCTCTAACTGAGGTTTCCAAAACGAAACATACCCAGCCTGCGAACGCGTGTGGCACTCTTTAAAACCTTTAACCTAAAGATGTGGCTTGATTATAAACAGCACTTGTCTTTTAAATTTCACAGTTGGTATCGTAGCAACGCTTCCAGTGGTTTTGTTGAGATATTTATAAATGTTCGAACTTTATAACTGCAGTGAAGTCTATGATTGTGACTGTCACTACAAGTCATGATACATCAATTGAGTCTGCCTCTCCCAAATGGTGTGGGTTGTTCTGGGATCTTTATATTTAATTAGTTGGGCGGGTGACATTTACAGCGTGAATGTTTAGGGGAAACAAGTTCAAGAGCAAGATGTAAAAAAAGATGCGAAAGACAAAGTGATTTACTGAGTGTTTTTAAGCATAAAACCGAGATGGTGGTAAAATCTTCACTCAAAAATGATTCCGTTCATCACATAACTATGTGTTATTTCTTTTGCATGACCTTGCAAAGTTTTATTCACGCCCAATCTGCCAAAATGTGACAACGGACATATTATATATACAACTAATATATTGCAAAAAAAAAGAAAAAATTATCAGAGAATCCAGAAAAACACACAGTTCACAATTTTCACAAAAATATTGAGCAGCACAACAGGTTTCAGCTTAGATAATAATAAGAAAATTCAGCTTTGCCTAAACAGGAAGAAATTACATTTAAACATTTTTAAATTTGTAAGTTCACAGTAATTTAGGTCTTAATTGAAAGCAAACGCGTGTAACAGTATATTGGATCCGGGTAGCTCTTAAAGTGACAGCAGTCTAATATACCTGCTGTCTGTCATTCATATTAATCAAACAACAAAAGAGAGAAAATCTCTCACTGTTCTTGACTAAATCACTTTTGTAGCTTTAAGAAATACATTTAATTAACACAGTGAAGAATATGCAGTGTTTTTATGTATTTGATTACTTTATACAGTGAATGAAGCATTTCTTATTTATTTGTTCTACTGTAGTATTTTTGTCCTATTGCTTCTAATTCAAAACATTATTCAAATTCGAAATGGATTATGTAAGCCTAGAAAGCCAGCAAATAGCACTTGCATCTAATCACAAAAACAGCTCTCAATTCATTTTAGCGCGATCTCACAATGTTTCATTATAATCAGTGAAGCTCTTATTTACATTGTGTTACACTTAGTTACAATGAGAGGATTTGCGAGCATGCAGGCAAAAATTCAACATTTAGAGGTTTGTGAATTCTGACTAACTTGCCCGCAGTGGCCAATCACAGGTGTTCAAGTAATCAACAGATATGTCTGTGACCTACTACACTGCTCAATGCAACAAAAACACGTTGTAAATAGAAACAATTGATGCTTTCCAGAGCGCAAACACAAATACGCACTGGAGTCTTTACCAAATTGGTTTTGGCAATATCCTATTATTACAGTTTAACTGGGGCTGCTTTTGACTCCGTGAGAAAGTAGATGTGTGGCATGAGAGTGTGAGAACCGTGTCAACTGCATGAGTCTCACGCTGAATGATAGATAGTAGGGATGTTCATTTCGGTTATTTTTCCTAACCGACAACCGATGCTCGTTAACAGATTATTAACTGTTAACCAACAAGATTTAATTAAATTAGAAAGGATACGTGTCTGTGAAAAAATACTAACATTTGTTTCCCGGGGATTAATTTTACATGCGCAAAAAGCAGCAAACAACAGATCATGAGGATTCACATGGTCATCATATCACATCACGCACATGCAGCGCTTCTGCGAGCGGAGAAGAACATAATAAAGCTAGGCTATAGGCCTATATATATAACAATAAATAGGCTTATACGAGAAATATATTTTTTACTTAATTAAGAAAACAAAAGAAAAACTGTGCAACAAGTAGCCTAGTATTCAGAGTTTCAGTTCATTTTTGTGCTGCGCGAAAGGAAACCAGACGGCAGAAAGCAGCATCCTATTTATTTGACTTATTTTACAAAAGCACAAAGATTTGTTTTTATTGTGAATGTACACAATTCCGATTATCTTTATGACTAAAAAGAGTAGTTGCTTCCACTATTAGAAGGAAAAAATTCAAATGATTGTGCTAGCGCCGCATGCACGCACACAGTTAAGCATTGCTACCTTGACAATGCAGCCTGCTCATATTCATAATAAAATACAGTCAGTCAAACACACTGCTCGGTTTAAATATGTAGTAAAATCTGTACTGTTAATCGTTATCACTGTACTGCCGTGAATGATGTTATGCAAACCATTTTGTTTTAAGTGGATATTGGAATGTGAGTAAAGTACATAATAAATAATATTTTGGCATTCAAATACATCGCGAATATGGAAACATTTGATTTTGTGTCGAATGAGAGACGCAACGTTGGTTTAAGTTTCGTTTTAGCCTTAATGAATTTGTTTTGGCTTGTCGTTTAGCTATAGCTTCTTATATTTTTAATTCTTGTTCTTTTCTAAATACTGTTAATTGAAAGGGTTTGTTGTGGAGTGAGGGGAACTAAAATAGCCTAGCTATGTTTACAGTGTTTATTATAATGTTTGTAAACATTTCGTATCGGCATTAAGCCTATTTCTGAATGAAATAATAAAATGCGATTTAGACGCGACTTTGTTTTTTTTTCCTCTAAAAAAAAAAAACTTTTTTATATACGCGTAGCGTATTTCAACCATGCAGCAAACCTTTTTAAATATTTTGATAAATTACTAAAAATAAATAAATGACTTTTTAAACCATCTAACTGATCGTATTAATCTGTCAAAATTCTTCACGGTCGGTTAACGGTTAACCGGTTAAAATGAACATCCCTAATAGATAGATAGATAGAGAGAGAGAGAAAGAAAGCGAGAGTGTGGAAAATATTTATTTGATCCCCTGCTGATTTTGTAAGTTTGCCCACTTACAAAGAATTGAAGGGTCTGTCATTTTTATGGTAGGTTTATTTTAATGTATGGAGACCAACCAAAAAATCCAGAAAAAAACACATTATATAAAAGTTAGAAATGGATTTGCATTTCAGTGAGTGAAATAAGTATTTGATCCCCAAGCAAAACATGACTTGGTACTTGGTGGCAAAACCCTTGATGGCAAGCACAGAGGTAAGATGTTTTTTGTAGTTGGTCATCAGATTTACACACATCTCAGGAGGGATTTTGATCCACCCCTCTTTACACATCCTCTCTAAATCCTTAAGGGTTGTTGGCTGTCTTTTGGCTACTCGAAGTTTCAGCTCCCTCCACAGATTTTCTGTAGGATTGAGGTCTGGAGACTGGCTAGGCCACTCCATGACCTTAATGTGCTTCTTTTTGAGCCACTCCTTTGTTGCCTTGGCGGTATGTTTCGGGTCATTGTCATGCTGGAAGACCCATCCATGACCCATCTTCAGTGTTCTGGCTGAGGGAAGGAGGTTCTCTTCCAAGATTTTACAGTACATGGCCCCGTCCATTTGCCCCTCAATGCGGTGAAGTTGTCCTGTACCCTTAGCAGAAAAACGGCCCCAAAGCATAATGCTTCCATCTCCGTGCTTGACTGCAGGGATGGTGTTCTTGGGGATGGGATGTTCACAGCGTCTTGTCTCCATTGGCAACATGCCGATTTGTGTCGATTGCAAGTAACGTCGCAGGTATCGGAGAGTGCAAGTGGCGATTGCAAGTGGCATTGTAAGTTAGTTTCTTTTTTCTTGTCTTCACCACCTGGCTACTGTTGTAAAATGTTGAGAGATTCAAACAAAAAGTAATCAATAAATAGAACAAAATAAAAAAGACTGCAAGTGACGTCGCTAGCGGTGAAGTTGTCCTGTACCCTTAGCAGAAAAACAGCCCCAAAGCATAATGCTTCCACCTCCGTGCTTGACTGCAGGGATGGTGTTCTTGGGGATGGGATGTTCACAGCGTCTTGTCTCCATTGGCAACACGCCGATTTGTGTCGATTGCAAGTAACGTCGCAGGTATCGGAGAGTGCAAGTGGCGATTGCAAGTGGCATTGTAAGTTAGTTTCTTTTTTCTTGTCTTCACCACCTGGCTACTGTTGTAAAATGTTGAGAGATTCAAACAAAAAGTAATCAATAAATAGAACAAAATAAAAAAGACTGCAAGTGACGTCGCTAGCGGAAGCGCAAGTGTCTGAGAGTGCAAGGCTGCAGCCAGACCCTTCTCAAGGATTTAGAGAGGATGCGTAAAGAGGAGTGGATCAAAATCCCTCCTGAGATGTGTGCAAGCCTGGTGACCAACTACAAAAAGCGTCTTACCTCTGTGCTTGCCAACAAGGGTTTTGCTAAGTACTAAGTCATGTTTTGCTTTTGGATCAAATACTTATTTCACTCACTGAAATGCAAATCCATTTCTAACCTTCATATAATGTGTTTTTTCTGGATTTTTTGGTTGATATTCTGTCTCTATCCGTTAAAATAAACCTACCATAAAAATTATAGTCCCTTCATGTCTTTGTAAGTGGGCAAACTTACAAAATCAGCAGGGGATCAAATAAATATTTTCCCCACTGTATCAGCAGCTGGTGCTTATACGACCCTTGATTGGTGGGTGGATTCTGACCTATGAATGCGGTGATGTCTATTTCAGGTCCATCTCTATTGCAGCGAGTCTGGTGGGTGAGGACGCAAAGACCAAGTTTCTAAGTAAGATGGGCCAGCTGACCACCTCAGGTGCCATGCTGGCGAATGTTTTCCAGAGAAAGAAATGAGAGCTGTTTTGGGTGTTTCCCATGAACCATCCACTTTCTGGGATCTCCTACTTGAAGTCAATTGTCTGCCTTTCTTTTGTTCGTCTTTGATTTGATAGGCTATATTTTTAACATATTTATGTCTTAAATTTTTTCCAGCCTCCAAAGAAATTTGCACTCATGTTTCAATGTTTTCCTTTTTTTTAATTTCTATTTTATTTCAGAAGGCTTATTTGCATCACTAGACTTTTTGTTTGTTTGTTTTTTGGACAATGTGAACTTTATGAAATCAAAACAATGATTCCTTCCTCGTCTTGTTGTCTTTTATGTGTTGCTGTGTCTCTGGAGAATATTTTCTATGAGTGTGTAAAATTGTCTGGGGTTTTGTTTCTCTTATTTTGGATATACTCCAACAGTAAATAACTGTAAAATACAGTGAATCAAGAGAACAGTACCCATTATCATGTATATTTGAAAATTCGTGTCGTAAGATAATAAAATGTGAAGACTACTTATGTACTTCTGATTCAGTGTGTTGTCTCTTGAACGCTCTCTTAGACGTCTGGCTTGACAGCAGTCATAATAAATCTGCACTTAAGTACTTCTGATACAGCAAATCAGTAGCACATTGTTTGCATGAGGTTCATTTCAGTTTATATACAGCATATCTCTAATGCAACTGAATTGTGCTGCATATTTTGCACTTCGACAGGTGTTACTACAATAAACGCTTGGCCTTGAAAACCAACGAAAAACTTGAGAACATCAAAGCCGTGCCTTGTTTTCCTCTGCATTTGGAGCAAAGGTTTTAAAGTTCAAGGGCCCCTTGATCACGTGGTCAGCAGTTGGCGGGAGGAAATACTGCCATGATTCTACAGAAGCCTGTGTGTTTGATCATTTATTGACTGAAGGAAAACGAAATTTGCATATTAATTTAAATTTGTAACTTTTGTGTTTACCCTCAGCGCTTGTGTAACTTTTATTCTTTCATCCAATTCATGAAAAACGACAGAGCTCGTATTTGCATAAAATATTTTCTCTAGCACGAGGTAACCTGCGCATGATTTGGAGCTGATCTACTGTAGTATGTGGAAATGTATCAGCTGGGATAAGTTACTCATGAGCGCAGGGCAAGAGTTGAAGAGCACTGTGAGTCCAACGTGATCTCATGATAATTAACGTACAAAACTGATGTATTGACGACACCTAAAAATGAATCCTTATGAATATTGAAATCGCGGCATTAATTTTATTTAGGAACATTTCCAAGCCCGGAGAGAGCGGCTGCATAAAACCACGGGAACATTCTGCCTCTCTGTGTTTTTATTCCGGTTGCGTTGTTGACTGAGTGCATAACAAGACAGCAAACAGGAACTAAAAAGCTTTCAGTTCCGGCCAATATGTGACCACTTTGATGGCAAGTTATGAAGGAGTTTTGGAGACTTTTTTAACTTTTTAATCTAATGATTCTGTCTTGTCTTATTTTAACTAAATTTGTCATTTTTTTACTTTTAATGTCATGGTTTTGTCTTTTAATTGTAATCATTTTATTTATTTATTTTTTAAAGAGTTATTTTTGCCTTTTATTGTGATGGGATAGTTTAGAGTTGACAGGAAGTGAATTGAGAGGGAGAGGGAGGCAGGATTCAAACTCGGGACACCCATAGCACAACAGCCCTGTATGTCGGCGCACTGCCCACAAGGGTATCGGCACCATTTTGATCATTTTATGTCATAATTTCAACTTTTTATTTCATGATTATGGCTTAGTATGTCATATGTTGACTTTTTATCTCAATTACTTAGTTAATCTTAGTAAATTATTATTTAATTTTGTCTCATTTTGTCTCATTCATATTATTAAAGGGTTAGTTCACCCAAAAATGAAAATTATGTCATTAATTACTCACCCTCAAGTCGTTTCAAACCCGTAAGACCTTCATTCATCTTCGGAACACAAATTAAGATATTTTTGATGGAATCTGAGAGCTGTCTGACCCTACATAGACAGCAATACAACTGAAATGTTCCCAAGTCCAGAGACGTAGCAAGGAGATCGGTAAAATAATCCGTGACATCAGGGGTTCAACCGTAATTTTACGAAGCTACAAGAATACTTTTTGTACACAAAAGAAAAAAAAAAGACTTTATTCAACAATTCGTCTCCGCCGCATCACCCTGTAGCGCCATTTTGGAGAGTATTCGCTGGATGTAAACAACGTATGCTGTTCTGTGTCAGCTGCGTCACACGGATACGCTGTTTTCGTTCAGATCAAATCACAACAACGTAGGAAACAGATCCAGTGTCGTCTATGTTGTTGTCTATAGAGGGTCAGACAGCTCTCAGATTCCATCAAAAATATCTTAATTTGTGTTCTGAAGATGAACGAAGGTCTTACGGGTTTGAAACGACATGAAGGTGAGTAATTAATGACAGAATTTTCATCTTTGGGTGAACTAACCCTTTACGTATGTCAAAATTGACTTTTTATACAATAATTATGATTTTTTTTATCTCAATTTTCATTTTGACATAGAAAGACAGAATTATCTGATATTTTAAGACTTCTTGACCTTAACACACAAAGTGGTCTGTGTCCACTGGTGTACTCTCTATGATGTCATTTCCTGTTCTTTTCAACATTTTAATGTTGGTTGCCCTACACAACTTTGATTTGATGTATACATGTGTGTATATATATATATGTGTGTGTATACATATATAACATATTTATGTTAAAGTCTAATGCAAACTCTGATTGATAGATAGATAGATATATATATATATAAAAAAAAAATGTATATATACAGTCATGGCCAAAAGTTTTAGCAGTGATTTGTGACATGGTGCTCCGTCATGCTGGAAAACACGTGGATCATCACCAAATTGCTCATGGATCGTTGGAAGAAGCCGCTCTTGCAGGACGTTTTGATACCAATCTTTATTCATGACAGGGTTTTTGGGCAGAATTATGAGAGAGTCCACTCCCTTGGTTGAAAAGCAACCCCACACATGATTGGTCTCAGGATGCTTCACTGTTGGCACAACACAGGACTCATGGTAGTGTTCACCTTTTCTTCTCCGAACAATCGATTTTCCAGATGTCCCAAACAGTCGGAAGGGAGCTTCATCAGAGAAAATAACTTTGCACCAGTCTTCTGCTGTCCAGTCCTTATTCCTGCAGAATTTCAGTCTGTCCTTGATGTTTTTCTTTGAGAAGTGGCTTCTTTGCTGCCCTTCTTGACACCAGGTCATTGTCCAAAAGTATTGGCCTCACTGTGCATGCAGATGCTTTCACACCAACCTGCTGCCATTCCTGAGCAAGCTCTGCACTGGTGTTGACACGATTCCGTAGCTGACTCCTCAGAGGAGACGGTCCTGGCACTTGCTGGACACTCTGGGACATCCTGAAGACTTCTTCACTGCAGTCGACCCCCTCTCCCCCCTATCAGATGATCCGGTAAATGGTTCTTTCAGGTGCAATATTCTTTGTAGCAATTTCCTTGATGTAAAGCGATTAAAATAGAAACCTTTTCTAACAATATACACTACAGTTTAGAAGTTTGGGGTCAGTACATTTTTATTCTTTCTTTTATTCAGCAAGGATGTGTTAAATTGTTAAGAAGTGATAGCAAAGATTTATATTGTTAGAATATATTTATATTTTGAATAAATGCTGTTCTTTTTTACTTTTTTTATTCATCAAAGAATCCTGAAAAAAGTATCGCAGTTTCCAATAAAATATTTGGCAGCACAACTGTTGTCAACATTGATAATTCTAATAATAAATCAGCATATTAGAATAATTTCTTAAGGGTCACGTGACACTTTATACTGGAGTAATAGCTGATGGAAATTCAGCTTTGCATCACAGAAATAAATTATATTTTAAAGGATATTAAAATAGAAACCATTATTTTATATTGTAATTACATTTAGCGAGATTACTGTTTTTTTCTGTATTTTTGAACAAATAAATGCAGCCTTGATGAGCATAAGAGACTTCTTTAAAAATGTAAAAAAAAAAAATTTGAAATTACTTTGAAATTTCTTTTAAAAAACATTACAAGTCTTACTGATCTAAAACTTTTGAACGACAGTGTATATTTATATTTATATATAATTTTATATCATTAATATATCATTATGTATTATGAAATTACAGCACAGCACATGAGTGAGAATAACACGATATCCGCCTTTGATCTTGTTGGTATCTGCTCCTCTTCGAGAGGTCAGAACTGTCCGTCTTGACTGCGCTTATTTCACTCCTCCCCTCACTGCAGCCGCCTACTCTCGCCTACATTTCAGGCGAGGCGAGGCGCATCTAAAACAAGCCTATTATTTAAAATGGGAATTTCTCTGGATTTACAAAATCTTGGGAATTTTTGGCATAACATAAATACACAGCTGCATGAAACACAGTGCAAGTAGTTTTGGGATATTTTATTACAAAAATCTTACATATTGTGCCTTTAACCACAGCTGTCGTCATTTATTTTTGTCTGTCAGTGGCAGCAGGTATGCGATAAAATTTCAAATTGGAGCCTGTATTACTTCGATTCTGGCACCCATGCATATACACATGTAATATGTAATATATATATACACATATGTGTATATATATATATATATATATATATATATATATATACATACACACACATATTAGAATTTTCTCCTGTTGTTGCATCACCCTGACTTTTTTTTTAATTTATGCCCCACAAAACATGCAATGTTTTTAATTATGAAAGCATAACATATTCACATAGGTTGGATTGGTTCAGTGTTGTTTTTCCGTGCTAGAACAACCAGTCTATTGTGACATCTCCATATCTACCTGACATAGCAGCTTTGAAAGGCCTCCATGAATTAAGGACACCATGTTCACCTGATTTGCATGTGGGGTGGTGCGGTAGCTGCATGATGGAGAGTGCATGGATGCCAAAACATGCCCTTCAGCTTTACTGATGACTGTTATTCAAAGCAGGCAGTGGTGGCTTAAAGGAACAGACACACGGCAGCTTTGTTCTTGAAAGCGAGAGGGATGGTGAATTAGTGAAACTTCTGGCAATGTTTCAAACACCCCCACATACGTCCCGAAAGCATCGCTATCTGCCTCATTCACCCACTAAGACAGATGCCAAGTGAGCAATTATGAGCTGACAGTTAAACCTCATAAGAATTACGAGCAAACAACTCACAGTTTAACATTACATAGAATGACCTTCTGCTCAGAGAGGCCACAAACTAGTGGACCATTACTTTCTAATCTCATTAAGAAACATTATTCGTCATTTAACTATATGTTATTCTTCTGAAAACTGTAAGTTCCAGGACCACAAAACCAATTTTAAATTTTTAAGAAATTAAAGGGGTCATATGATGCGAATTCAAGTTTTACGTTCTCTTTGGAGTGTTACAAGCTGATTGTGCATAGATAAGATCCCTGAAGTTGCAAAGACTAAGGTCTCAAAACCAAAGAGATATTCTTTATCAAAGTTAAGACTCTGCCACGCCCCCCGTGTGCAGCACATTTTATGGAGGACTGTTTCCTGATCCTGGTAGAGTAGACTACAATGCCGGCTGTTCTGACTCACAGATTGTAAGTACGTTTTTTTATATTTAAAGAATTTGCCACTGATGATTCAAACGCGAGTTTTGGGCAGTGTAGAGTAGCACTTGTTGTTTGTCATTTCTCCGATCACAATGCAGATATGGTTTTATGTTTATGCGGCGCGATGCAACGCGTAAAAAGACAGTATAAGTCATTATAATCCGTAATTATGTCCCCACTGGATGCAACAAATGCCTCGTTTATAATGGGTTTTAATGTTTTTGTCTCGTAGCTCCGACCGGACAAGGCATCACAGTATGGTAAGGGGCATAACATTTGCGTCACACGCTTGAGGTATTCGGCCAATCACAACGCACTGGATAGCTGGCCAATCACAGCACACCTCGCTTTTCAGACCGATGAGCTTTGTAAAAATCTACGCGTTTCAGAAAGGCGGAGCATAGAGGAGAAACAATAATGTACAGTATATGGAAAGTCATGTGTTTTTAAACCTTAAACCGCATAAACACATTTCATTACACCAAATACACAAAATAATGTTCTTTTTAGCAGCATTATATGACCCCTTTAAGGTTTATCTGCTGAAATTAATAGGAAAATGGGATGATATTAAGTAGGCTATAGGCCTGCAAAATATTTAATGCTCAAAATATGGGGTTTGTCATAGTAAACAGTAAACTACTGTATTTGCACTACAAACCAGTGTATTTATGATTATGATAATAAATATTATAAATACCCATTTGCAATTTTTTTGTACAGCTAAAATCACTGGAAATGGCTGACAATAGAAGCCTTGCACATTCAAGTTCAAAATGCTGCACCTGTTCTTATGTTAAAAAAGGGTGGACAGTGGACAGTACAATTAAATATTTACTCACAACAACTATAGTCTTTGAGACCAGGCTCATCCATTTTTATAACCGATTTCATAACTATTTTATTAATAAGTTGTTGACTTTGCTTGTCTAAAGCATTGCAAATTAGTCTCACTCCAGGTGGCATAGCAACCATAAACAACCTAGCTATTTGATTGGACGAAAATCTGTGTAGTGCAGGATGAGTCAGTATAAGGCCAATAATAGAGCTGACATAAACTCAGATTTTACATCTTGCATTCTGAGTTTATATCTCGTAATTTTTTCCCCCCAGCCATGGAACAAAAATAAAAAAGGTATAGGCTAATTGCGACTTTTTATCTCACAGTTTTCTTTTTTTACTCACAATTACGAGTTTCTATCTCACAATTCTGAGTTTTCTTCTCAGAATTTATACCTTTGCAAAAGTCGCAATTGCCTTTTTTTTTTTAATCCGATGGCAGAAAAAAGCTTCCATAAGTGAGTCTATGTTCAAAATTGTATACTTGCTCATTTTTTAAATGATTTCAAACATTAGTAGGCTATTCTTTGTGTTGATTTTAATCATATTTTGCATTAAAAGTTTTAACTTGACAGTTTAATCAAATTATGACTAGAGATAGATAGGTTCAAGTCAATTGCATTGCGTTGAGGGATAGGCCTACAATATTCCAGCTGTATACTCTGTTTCGTGTACACTAGCAAAAGATAGCTTCTATTTTGGATTTTTGGGGATATACAAGTATCTCACAACTTAAATGTATCTTCACTGCACTTTGGCTCTAGCGTAAATACACGTGCTTGACGTGGCGCTGTGCAACTAAACTGCTACAGACTTGAACGATAGAAACTGACAGTGATTGTCTGGTTACATGAACGTGACCCCGTTTATATGGGGACTACTTTGATTACGAGAAATGGGAGGAGCGTGTGGGAAACTGAGCAGCTTCCACATGACTGTAGAGCAGTGGAAACAGAGAGAGCAGCAGTCGAGGCGTGAGTGAGTGAGTGAGTGATCATCATGGGACATGCTCTCTGCGAATGAACCTCAGCAGTCTGGAGCTTCATCCCTTCATCCCAAAGCGCGCAGACGTCTGCTGCTGAACCTTCCTGGACAATACAACAGTACCGAAACTGAGATTACAGAGTCCTCTTTTAAAGTTTAGAAAAATGAGAGCGAGTTTTTCAGCTAGTTGGATATTTCAAGGATGGATCACACACTTCGTTCTTGCTCTGTGCACGCAGGTAAGTTTGCTTAGCCTATGTTTTTTTGCAAATGATTACAATACACCAAACTTCGTCTTTGAATTTAACGGAATTATTATAGGTAAACCGGGAATTTTATATTATGGGGAATTATGATTTTGCACTCTGTTTACTTTTTGGCCACCACAATGCCAAACTGCCTTATTCCCCTCTATTTATTTCAGCGCTTTGTTGCGAGAAGGGGTTGTGTAACGTTACATTAGCGATGTACGAATCGCGAATAACTCGTTCTTTTGAGTCGGACCTTTGCAATGAATCTCAAAAACCGGTCTGATCGCTTCGTTCGATCTGACTGAATCGCCCCAAACGGCTGTCAGTGTCGTGTCAACAATTTACCTATTTCTAAATTACCAGAGCAATGTATGTGTAGTGAACTGAGGATTTGACTGGTAGGGCGAAAAGTAAGTAGCTAATAGCCGAATGGGGGCATGTTAAAGAATAAAACGCAATGCAAATTATGTTTGTGACTTTATTGACTGTTTTGTCAACACGCGCACGAAACGAGTTGGTTTTAATAAACAGCATTGAATTTTTTCAGTCAAGTGAAGTACATGAATTTGAACATTGTTTGACATTATTAAATCTCAGATTAATTATGGCTGCAACAAACTAAACTGGGACCCTGTTAATTACAGTGAAGTCCAAATAATGACGCGATGACAAGAGAATTGATGACTCTTTTAAAAAAAACTTTCATTGAAAGGAACTGTTCAAAAGAACCGCTAGTAGTTGGATGTCAAGTCACTAATTTAGTCTGTGGCTCAAAATTGAAAAGACCTACCTAGACAGGCATTTTTGACCGAACGTGCTCTCTAGGTTGGCCGCTCACAAAGTTTTGAAACACTTCCCCACTTGTTGTTGAAATACAAACAACTTGTTTCATTTGAATAAATTGGGGTTTCTTCCTGAATATGTGTTTTTTGTTTTAGTGAAGTGAACTAGTCCCTTGTTTAGACAAAGCTTGTTGTCATTAACAAATCTGATAAGGAAATTATATTTCCTCATGAATTTCCATGATACCCATGGATTTTCCTGAGATGATGGATATATCCAATGATCCGTGATCAATCCCAGGAAACCTAAATAGGAAATGTTTGCTTCTGCTTTTTTTGTTTTTGTATTTGCTTGAGAGAGATAAAGAGAGCTTTCATATTTCATAAATTGCCTTCTGTAGTCCCTAAACAATATTTCTCTTCCATTTCTATTATTTGAAAATATATGTTGGCTAGAATACAGAAAACTAAGGCTTTGCCCGTGTTGCTCATTTGAAAACAATTAATTTTTTCACTGTGCTGTGCAAAAAAAGTTGAATCTGAGCATTATTTCTACCTATTTTAACAGTCTATAGAAGCACCTACTTCAGCCAAGTCCTTTTCACCCCCACGAGAGCCCAGTATGCTGAGCTTGGCACTATTTTCAATTTTTATTGTCTTTTACATGAGTGACGGCTGGATTTTCTCAGATTTGCACTGAATTAAAGGATTGCATTTAATTCTGCCCTGCTGTTAAACCATGGAATGCTTTTGTGGTATCTGGAGGGATGTGGGTGGTGTTTTTTTTGCTTTTCTTCTTGTTTTTTTCTTCTTCTTCCGAGTTGGGCAATATCCACCCACCATACACACACTCCCCCACGCTTTCATTCCCTGATGCTTTTACCACTCAAATAATCCTTATTCCTTGAAGATTCTCATTCCGACCAGAGCAAATGTTCAAATAGGCCAAACGTTGTGTAGTTTTTGTGTTACTGTAGAAATCACCAAGAGGACTGGAGATACAGTGACCCCAAAAAGTATTTGAACGCTTTAGCCACACGCAAATATGCCTGAATGCCATTGCATCAGATTACAAAATAAGCAACTGGCATGCATTTAAATTTTTTTTAAAATGTGTGCTTCTCCCATGGCATCTATCTATCTATCTATCTATCTATCTATCTATCTATCTATCTATCTATCTGTCTATCTGTCTATCTGTCTGTCTATCTGTCTGTCTGTCTGTCTGTCTGTCTCATCTGTTGAAGTGACATGTTGCTGTAGTTTGGTCACAAGCATTTTATCATATAAGAGCCACTACGTTAGTTTAACTAATGTTGCAACTCTTAATTTCAGGCAGGACTGGCCATAAGCTGCCAACAAAATGAATATAAGCACAACGGGGGATGCTGCAGAAAATGTGAACCAGGTGAGCAGCAATACAGACTAGTTAATTATACTATGTAGAAGACCCTATAGAGCAAGCCATTCATTCATTTTATGGTGTGTGAGTGAAGCCTGTCTGGGAAAAATAAGATCAGGTCTAAATCTGCTCGTTTTTTCCCATTTAAAAAGCAGAAGGATAAGAAAAGAGGAAGAGGCCTTCACACACCCACACAAACTATAACCTACAATGACTTCCACTATACAATTAAAAGAATATAATCTTTTGCAATATGGATTCACTGACCTTTTCCAATGACCAAAACAGCAAACACATTTACGTCTTTAGATTAGCGAACTTATTGCACAATATTTCTTTCAATGCAGGAAAATATCTTTTCGCTCATTGTGATGGCAGTTCGAGCACAAAGTGCCTTGATTGTGGCCGTGAAGAATACCAGCCGGACTGGAACAGTGACACTAAATGTATTCCTCAGAAGTTCTGCGATGAAGGTCAGTGTCACTTACAGTTTTTCTCAGTAGCTTTGGTGCATTTCTCGAATCAGAAATTACATTTTCAAAACTACTTGTTCAACCTCCACATCGTCTAGTCATTTGTGCACATCATAAAAGCAGTTTCTCATTATTTTGAGCAAGTTGCGATTGCTTTGGTACATTCATGCAACTGATTATATACATTTGTCTGTGGTTTCCTACATTATGAGTTGCTATTGTCATGTTGTTCAAAATGTATTATATAGTTCTTTGTGTAATAGTCTTACCCCTCAAAACATCTAGTCATTAGTTCATCGTGTTAGTCATTAAATGCAAAATGGTTGATCTAGTTGTCATAAACTGTCCGCATATGACACATTTTTATTAAACTTTTTGTAAATTTGCCATGAATTGTGCAAAGTGAATCTTGACTTTCACTAATGAAGAGGATGTAGATCAACCAATGATAAACCAGTTCTCTGAAATAGCTCAAAGGTACATCTCAATCATCAATTGGAAAGCATATAGACAAAGGACAACACAACAGTTACAAATTATGACAGTGGACTTCCTAGTTTATTTTTTACATTTTTTTTCGACTTTGTGCCCATATTTCTTTTTCTTTTCTATATCACAATAATGTAATGTTTTTTTTTCAGACCACTAGTACAGGTGTAACTGTGAATCCTATCCAGTTTCTTTCAATCAATATCCCACATACAGTAATGTGTAAATTTGTACTTTTGAAATGGATATATGGCATACATAAGAAGTGCAGCCTTCTGCATTTCAATACAGTAACTGTCTTCCAAACTGTTGCCATAGTTTACATCATATTGACAACATGACTAAGGATTTTGACTATCTTGTTTGTGAACAATGACACAAGGACTTTTCATTCTGATGGCACTGATATGCTCATTGACAATAAATACTTACTTTTGAGAGATGAACTAAGGATTTTGAGTAAGTTACAGGCATTGTGTGGTGCTGTTTGTGCAAATTGTTTTGAGAAATGTACAGACTTCTTTGCAAATATTAAGGATGAATCGAGAAATGCACCAAAGCGACTGAGAAAAACTGTAATATGTGTAAAGAAAGAATATTGATTAATTGCGCATTATATTTTGACACCACGCGCTAATCATTCTCTACAGGTAAAGGATTTAACCGCACTCGTCCACGCAACCCTATAGCGGCTGAACCGTGTCGGTGCAAGCAGGGTTTCCACTGCTCTCTGATCAACTGCGAATACTGTGAGGCCATTAAAAAATGTCCTGCAGGAGAAGGAGTCGTAATGGGCGGTAAGAACTTGTGGTGACTACACAGATTTGACAATGAAAAAGATTTGATCATTTAAAATCTTATTCTGGGGGAAAATATTGATAAAGGGATAGTTCATGACATGAATAACATGAAGGTGAGCAAATGATGACAGAGTTTTCATTTTAGGGTGAACTATCCCTTTTATAAGTTTATTCAGAAGTTTAAAGTGGGAGACATTAATCATATGCCTTATAGATAGATGAAGTGGACCCGTAATTGAGAGTGCAGTAAATCATTGGCTGTTCCAGCTCTGTGGTTTTGAGCACAAAATTTAGTGCCAAATGGATACAGTTCACAGAAATGGATCTGGACATGCTGTAGTTTACAATTTATCTTTAGCATCTTGACATTTACACTGTAATTAAAATTTAAAAGCATCACAAGGCTTTCTATAGCTTTCTGTTATACTTTCTTTGAATATGTCTGGATAGATAGATAGATAGATAGATAGATAGATAGATAGATAGATAGATAGATAGATAGATAGATAAAATGAGAGATAGAGCAGTAGATAGATTGATAAAACAATAAATGGATTGAGAAAATAGATAGAGATAGATTGAGAGATAGAACGGTAGATTGATAAAACAATAAATGGATTGAGAAAATGATAGATAGATAAAAGTGAAAGTGACGTGACATGTGGCCAAGTATGGTGACCCATACTTGGAATTAGTGCTCTGCATTTAACCCATCCAAAGTGCACACACACACACCGTGAACACACACCCGGAGAAGTTGGGGGTGGGAGAGCGCGCTGTCACTCCCCCCCACCTACAATCCCTGCCGGTACGAGACTCAAACCATCTATCTTTCTATCTATCTCAAAGTCAGACTCTCTAACCATTAGGCGATGGATGGATGGATGGAATGGTAGATAGATTGATTGATGGATGGATGGAATGGTAGATAGATTGATTGATGGATGGATGGAATGGTAGATAGATTGATGGAATGGTTGATGGATTGATGGAATGGTAGATAGATTGATGGATGGATGGAATGGTAGATAGATTGATAGAATGGTAGATAGATTGATGGATGGATGGAATGGTAGATAGGTTGATGGATGGATGGAATGGTAGATAGATTGATGGAATGGTTGATGGATTGATGGAATGGTAGATAGATTGATGGATGGAT